GGTTCTTGGAACTACACACTTGTAGTTCAAAATGGCTGCAGCATGAATTTCATTTAAAGGGCAATGCTGGTAGATGGGATTCTAAGACCCTTAGTGGTTGCCGGCAACTGCAGATGGTACCGAATCCTAGATATACTATGTTTTCCCTTATGTATACTACCTATGATAAAGTTTAACTTGTAAATTAGATGCAGTAAGAGATTAACAATAATAACTAATAATAAAATAGAGCACATAACAATATACTGTAATAAAAGTTATGTGAATGTGATCTCTCTCTTGGTTACTAAGTCACTAACAGGCACGTAGTGTCTACAGCATGGATCCACTGGACCAAGGGATGATTCATATCCCAAGTGGGATGGCACAGGATTTCATCACACTCTCAGAATGGCGAGCAATTTAAAACTTATGGGTTACTTATTTCAAGAATTTTTCACTTAATATTTTTGAATCATGGTTGACTGAAACCAAGCAAAGTGAAATCATGGAAAGGAGGACAACTGTAATGTTCTCATCATAGCATAACTTGCTTCTGGTTCAAGGAAGTGCCATATAACAAACTTTTGAGGAAGACTTATACTATGGACATTATTGGATGTATAGAAAGTGTAATAGAACAGATTAAAACCCCATTCCCAAATAAGGAGCCTGCCTGGGATGTTGTTCTGCAGATTGCATATTTTCCCTGTAAAAACCTTTGGTTTATATTCATTCATGTTAAAACTATGATTACAGGTCATTTCCAAATATGTCATTTACATATATGCCTTCAAATACTGCTCTGACCTCTTCTTCCTTCTCCCAGCAAATGAATTATTTATAATTCTTTTCATAAAGAGATAATCAGCTAAAGAGCTTTCTTAAAGGTGGCAAAACTAAAAAGCAAATTAGTTTTATGATTTCAAAGAATTAGCTGACTATCCACTTATTATAATGTTTTCAGACTACTTTAGAACTCTCAAAGGAAGAATAATGGTCCAGTGCAGTGCTGTGAAGTTCCCTTTATGGACATAGTAAGCCATTTAATCTTGACAGGCTCAATTGTTTTTGATTTCCTGCCATGGAGATCCATCACAGAAATAGCAGTTGTGATTAATAGCATTTTGATCACTAATCAAAAGCATTTGTTATAATGCATACCTGGAAAATATTCCAAAATGGAGAATAATATTCAAGTATAAAAAACTATAACAACTGAAAAATCAATGTCCATTGAGGAGAGAGGGTTATAAAGGTACTTTCAGGAGAGAAATTAAATTCTAGATTTTCATTAATTTTAAGGAGAAAGTGGAAGAATAAACCTTAAAGAGAATTTATGGGTAATATTTTTTCCCAATTTGAGATGAAAATTATACCTGGAATTTACTTATTAATGCATATGTTCAAAACATGTAGAAGATTCTCTTAAATAGATCATTGTAAATGTTTTGTTAGTTAAAAAGATACCCTATCCTCATCTATTTTCTAACATCAAGCTAAAAATTCTAGAATGGTGGTGGCAGCAATGCAGAGACAACATTATCAACTTAGAAAAAAAGTGGTATCCAAAACCAGATTCTGTTTCAATAATTACAGGGAGTCGCGTTTCCTCCCATTATATCCATAACCCATGAAATAAAGCAGAACTATGGAGAGAGGTGATGTGCTAACAGATTAGATTTTGGGCATATTCTTGTAAAGATTATCAGCCTAGAAAAATTTGCCAGATGAGTCTATGCAGAAAAAGCTAAACAAAATTGAAATATCAGTATATAGGGCCTTCATTTACTCTTTTATTCATTTAATTATGCATTTATTTATTCAATAAACAAAGATTTACTGAGTTTCAATAACCAAAAAGGCACTAGGTTAACCAATAAGACATGACCCCTGCCTTTATAGAATGCATTCGTTGAGGGTAAACTGTGGCCAGGCGCTTCACATACCTTATATCAACTCTATGAGGTGGATATTAAAAAAAAATCATTTTCTCTTTTATATATGAGGAAGCTGAGCATCCCAGGAGTTAAACTGGTTGCTCAAGGTCACACAGATAGTAAGTGGTAGAGTTAGGCTTCCAAACCCATCTTGTTGTCTCCAAAATCTACTACACTGTGGTGCCTGTAATCTAGGAGGAAAGAGATAAACATACACAATGACCTGCAATACATATCAGAGACTGTACAAATTCTATGAGAAAGGATATGTGGCTTGCTGTGGGAGCACAGAGAAGAAATCTATTTATTCTGCTAGTCTCTGGGTAACCCCTGAGAAGGCTTCATGGAAGCTGGCATTTGAGTTAGGCCTTGCAGGTAGATGGGGAAGAACATTTCAGGTGGATACATGAAAGTGCACTGCAGAATGAAGAACCAGCTTATAGTTCCAGAACTGGGAACAGTGTTTCTCACGTTTGTATTCATACCATAGTTTTGAATTTTAGAATATTTGGCAGCATACCTGAACAATGCCATAGTCAGCAATCATTATGATACAACAAATCTATTATGGGATTAATTTCATGGACTTTGGAGTTAGGATTGCAGGCTTTGAATCTGCTCTGCCACTTACCAGTTGTGGGGACTTTGGAAAATCATTTTAGGCCTTGTTTGGCCAAATGGTGATAATCATAATGGGCTATTTTAAGGAGTATATGAGTTAATGTATGTCAATTACTTAGTTTAGTGTATAGTACCTAATATACATTCAATAATTGGTTATGAATACTACATTATATTATCTCAGGATATCTATTAGAGCATTCAGTTATTTCAGGATTCTCTTGGTTGCCTTTTTGTATTTTGGCATTGTTCAAATTGAACTGTACTAGATAGTACTGACTAAGTTTCCCCATATACTAAGAAGGCAGTTTCAGTAACTTCTTTTTCTTTCCCACTGCCTTACTGTTTTGTTAGGCCTCTTGTCTTCTACTCTCAACAAATGGAATCATCTTCTATATTGCAATGCAGAACCACTAGGCTTAATATGAATTTGGCAGATACTATGCATGTTTAAGTATAACAAAAATATACTTTTCCTGTTCATCACTTTGCGAGCATATATGTGAAGGGGGTAAACAGTGTTCCTTGGCCTATGTGGTTGAGATCCAACTATACAGAGTTGGGGTGACAGCATAGGAGAAAGTGGGGAGAGTGGTAGGAGAAGACAGGTTAGGGTTGGATTGGAAAGGAATTCGAACATGCTAAGGAGTTTGGCCTTGAGCTTGTAAAGGAAATGGGCAGCCATGGGGAAAAAAAAAGCAGGAGGGCTAGTACAATCGTATTTGGATTTTAGGAAGACAACTAATACATTGTGAGGGATGGCTTTGCATATTCTTTGTCTAATAAACTATAAATCCTTTAAAACCCATCACCTTTGGGAAGCTTTCTTGAGTTGTTACACCTGATTTTGATGTCCCTCAATGTGTTCTCATAGTATTATGTGCATACATCTATCATATTATAATACATAATAATTATTGACTTAATTGGCTGTCTCCTCCACTGGATTGTATACTCCTTGAGATCGGGGACCACATCTTATCTTTGGATCCCCAGCAGCTAGTGTAGTAATTGCAGGTTCTCGATAAATATCTGTGGAATTTAGTAATTAATATGAATTTATAGAAGGAGCCAAGACAAGGAAACCAGTTCTAAGATTATTAGCCTAAGAGTCTATCAGCATAACCTCCACTGGTAATTCACATCATATTGTCTTATTGTTTGACAAAAGCTGATAGAAATGTATTATAATAGTTTGTCTTTAACCTTTTATTTCTAATCCTTTCTTAAAATGAAATAAAATGAAAATTAAATTCCAAAAGCACTGAAGTTGATTTTTAATGATTTTTAATTCACTGAAAATTAGGCTTTTCCCCTCCCTATAGTCTAGATATAAATATACAGTACATAATATTCTAAAAAGAGAATAAAATGCTGACTATTTCTAATTACCTAATTTGTTTGAGGGAATCACCAGTAGTCCACAAAGTGAATTAATGTGATCAACAAACTCAAATGCATTGTTTTGTAATTTATGTAGAATTCCCGATAAGTCTTTCAGAGTTTGCCAATATGTCCAATGATTAAAGATATTCAGCCAAAATGAATCCTCTATCTTTGCTTTTACAGTATAGGAAAAGTTACAGGAGTGTACTTTATCCATTAATCAAACAAAATGTTTCTATAAATCACTGTATTAATTGCTGAGTTAAAGGCCATGCCTGTATCATGAAAAGCAAACAAAGGATATTGCCAAAAAGACTAGTGTGCTCAGCTGATTTGACTACACTGATGTGTTTAATTCCAGCCTTTAGTCAAAACAGGTCTAGATGACAGACTTATTCCTCTGATCATTTAATTTTGACCTATTAAGACAATCAATTCTATTTGATTTTTCCTGTTCTTATGATTTTTTTTTAAGACAGTGTCTCACTCTGCTGCCCAGGCTGAAGTGCAGTGGTGAGATCATAGCTCACGGCAGCCTTGAATTTCTGGACTCAAAGGATCCTTCTGCCTCAGCCTCCCAAGTAGCTTGGATTACAGGTATGCACCAGCAGGCCTGGCAAATTAAAAAAAAATTTTTTTTGTAGAGATAGAGGTCTTACTATGTAGCCCAGGCTGGTCTTGAATTCCTGGCCTCAAGGGATCCTCCTGCCTAGGTCTCCCAAAGCACTGGGATTGTAGGTGTGTGCTACTGCACCTGGCCTGTTATGCTATTTCTGTTCTCAGAACACTGTATATGGTTGGGGACCTTACTGGATGGAAAGTGTGTGACTCCACCTCTTTCTGTTTCTCTCTGGTTCTGTTGTTCCTATACATTCTTGGGCTTTTGCTGAGATTGATAATAGCCAATGTTGAATAGAATTTAATTTTCAATTGAAATTCTAATAAAGGTTTTCCTTAATTTGCTCAAGCTGATGCACTAGAAGTAGCAGATTTTAAAATATGCATGTGTTTAAAAAGTCAAGATTATTTAGACATTTAATGACAATCAGATGACCTTCTGAAATATTGGCCTACCTTTTGGAGATACTTTACTTTCTCCTCAGATTCCTGTATCTTTAGGGCTTCGGCAAAGATGTTTCTATTTGCTAGAGGGAATAAAGTCAAATTCAATCTGAAATAATTTTATCATGATTTTATACTAAAATTGATATAAAATTGGATACAGGTTGAAAGGGAATACATAGAGTAGGAAAGTAAACAAAAGTACATGTGGTGTATTGAAACTTTATAAACCAGATTTCCAACTATTTAGAGACTGAATTAATTAGCTATGGCTGCAGGGAACCTCTAATCTCTTTAGATGATGAGTAAGCTCTAGTCCAGAGACAAGAAAAGGTCTCAAAAGAGAAAATACCTGCAGGATCAGAGATTCCAATTTCTACATTCCTGTTCAAACTGTTAAAGAAATTTAGGCATTGTCCTCTGGATAAACAGGGTGGTCCCTCAGCAGGGACTTAGGTGTGCAATTCAGAAAGTTATACCACAGTGTAAAGTAGTACCCTTGTACTTATTGCCTATTTTCTGATGAACCTAGGAGTCAGAATGCTGAAAGGCATAAAACTTGGTACTTACTGTTGTTACTCACAAGGTGAGAAGACTGCGAGGAGTGACTGTTCTCTAAAAAATACAAAAGGGAAGTAAAGAAATCATTGGAAAAGACCACAACATTAAAGGCGTTTGAATATTTTATACCATAACAATTGTATAACAGTTTCCACATTCTAGGCCTCACTAGGGGCTTCCAGGTCCAGGAAGTTCATTAGTAATGTTGACTCCACCTTCATCTTTCTCCAGGGCTTTTCATGTTTGAATTCAACTGTGTATTTGAATTCAACTGTGTAAACTATCCTTTCAGCCAACAAATAGCATTTCCTCAGATTATTCTATATTGTTTACCAAATAGATGCTATAATTTAAGGGAAACTTATGTGTGTTTAGATGTAACAAATATACTACTGATCCTTTTCGGGTGGAAGGGTTGTTGGAAGGGTTCAGGAACTATACATGTATTTGTATGTACCTATAACTATTTGTATGTACCATTGCAATTTCTCCTGGAAGGGGCTCTGGTATCTGCAGGCCGGTTACGGTGGAGGCAGATATGACTGACAGGAGGCCGCTACTCTACTCACCAGACCCTCTGCTCCTCCGGCGCCGCGCCACCGGCAGACGCTGACTGCTGTCTCTGCGCAGCACCAGCTGAGATTCGCTAGGGGGATACATCGACGCCGAGATCCAGAACTGCTTAGCCAAGTTGGCATCTTGTTCCGAGGAGCCGGCAAATACCAGTAATCCCGGGGGGCAAATTTCCTGGGACTCCTTTCGGCCGCTAGGTTCTTCGCTGGGTCCCGTTTCCATAGCAACTGAGGACGCTCCTCCAAGCGTCCTCGCCCCTCCCCCCGCCCCGCCCCCATCCCGCCCCTCCGAGAACCGCCAAGTTGGTACCAGCCCCTGCCGGCAGCCTTCGGTTTCCTAGGTAGGTGTTGGGATCCACCACGCGCGTGGGGGCCGTCGGAAGCCCACTCCTGTGGTGATCAGGTTTTGGGACCAGTCCAAACCTTGGAGTAGATAGGGGAGAGTCAAAACATCAACTTTGGGTTTTGTCCTGTCGGAGTCAGTGGGGGAGTACTTTAGCTTCTTATATCCTCAGTGGGCCTGCCACATCCTCTCCCCTCCGCCCCAAAAAATAGCTAAATAAACTGTAAATTCCTCAGCCCCATCGCCCCAATCCCCTCTTCCAAACCAGATTGCCAGGGACAGCACCTGCTACGTGGAAGTTCTGAGAACGTTGCGTTGGAGAATTCATGGCTGAAAGCCTAACCCTTGGGAGCTAGAGACCTGAACTGGGCAGATACATGCCCATGTGTATAGTTTCTGTGATTTTAAAATTCTGAATCCTTTAAATCTTAGCAAACAATCTGGATTTTAAGTGTAACTGCATTTACTAATCACTCCCACTAAAAGTTGCATAGACTGCAACAGTTGTAAATGATGACTTAAAAGAAGGGATATAAATGAATGGACAGAGTCCCTTCACAGAAAAAAAAGTATGAGACATTTTGTTAATGTATTCTTATAAAAGTATTAACAAGTGTGTGTGTGTGAATAGCTTTCCCGGGAGATTTTTGTCATGGCAGGAACAACTTAACCATTTCATTGATAGAAAAGTTAAGATTACTGTGGCAGGAACTGAGATGGACATCATAAAGCCAATTTAGCAAAGGAAATGCACACACGACAATAACCACAATTTATGTCTTTATGGCACTTTATTCTTTCAAAATATTAGTAACAATATAGTCTCAAGAAGTTAATAATCACATGTTCATATAATAACATACATCAATCAGCTAAGTAAAAAATCATATTCCCCATTATATCTAAAATTTTCATTAAGAGCCTGAAGGAATATTGAAAAAAAGAAAACCCACATACATACACATTACATACACTGTATTCTTAGTAGCTAAAATGTTGATTTTTAAATTTTGGCTGAGCAATTAATAGGCAATGGATGAAATCAGCATTTTCCAACACCCCTCTTCCCCACACACATTGATGATGCACAGGCAGCTCATTTGGATGAATTCCCAAATCTTTTTACCTGGCCGTGTGGTTAGTGATTGGTACTATCAGCAATCAGCTAACTACACTGCCTGGTAACTAGACTCATGAAAAAAAATTGCAGTCTCAAGTTGGTACCCCCACACGTTGTGACAGGCAATTCATTGGTTGAGTTGAAGATCAACTGAGTTGCTGGCTTGGTGAATATTCTACTAGACAATGGCAAATAGACACAGTGAATCATACACAGTATTAACCGTTACATGGGTGGAGGGGCTTCACCTCCAGGGATTTTGCTTTCCTGGTATGAGACTGTTTCATCTTCTGTGACTCCTAGAGAGAGAGCTAACAGTTTAACTGTATCTGGAGAAACCGCGGGTTTTCTCGCACTTGCAGCGGGCGCTCGCGAAGCATGCCAGCGCGGGACCCACGCCGACGCCGCGCTTCTCAGGCACCTTCTCCACTCGAAGGCTGCGGGCAGCCAGAGCCGGCGTCCTCTTCCCGGCCAGGCGGCGGATGATGCTGTGCCTTGTTTTGATGGCAGTGGAGTTAGTGATTGTAACCACCACAGTACAATCAGCTAATGACACTGCCTACAAACCGAGCACTGGGCGTCCGCGGCTGCAGCTCCCGGACGGTCCGCAGCGCCGACGCGGGGTCGCAGGGTCGCGGGGTCGGGGCCTGCCTAGGACCCCATTTCACCAGGGGACGCCCGACCATGGCTGGGCGCGAGCGGCCTCCGAGGACACCCCGGGCCCGGCGGGATCCCCGCCGGCCTCGCCGCGCACAGTACGGGTAGTTGGGCCAGCGGGCGGCGCTGCCGGGGAGGACCCGCGCCCTCCCGGGCCGCGCCCCGACCCCGGTGACCCTCGGGAGTGCCGGGCCTCCCCTTCCCGCAGCCTCTCGCTCCTCTCAGGACCCTCCCGCTCAGGTTCGCCTCGCTTTTCCTTTCCCCTTCGCCTCCTCGGCCCGGGCTCCCACTTCCCTCACGCCGGGCTTCAGTTCCCAGCCCCAAACCCTAGAGCTGGCTCTCTCGACCCCGTGCGCCCCGCAGCTCTGAGCGGCCTAGTGACTCTGGCGGGGGCGACCAACCGTCCTTGGAACCCCGCGGGCCGAGGGGCGGGGCGGGCGCGAGACGGGGCTGGGGGCGGGGGGGTGGGACAGGTGGGGGAGGGGTGGGGGAAGGGAGGAGGCTGAGAGAAGGGGCTGTGGGCGGTCCCTGAAGGGCCTCCAGGGAGACGCCTAGAAGATGGAGGCCCAGATTCTTGAGACATTTCTCTTTCTGATCTAGCAGGAGGGACAAAGAGCTCCACTCCCTCATTCCCCAAGAAGCCCCCAAGCCTACCCAGTTTCCGTGCCCATTCTGCCCTGGGAAAGCGGCTTCCCAGGTACCTCAAATTATAGGTTTGAATTTTCCAAATGGAGGTGGGCTTGGGTAGCCTCTGACATGTGGGAGGATGCCTTTGAGAGTCTCATCTGCACCTTTGTGCTCTGTTGGGGACTTGGCCTTATAGTCTTAGAGGGCCATGCGGTGATGCGAAGGCTGAGCCTTCTAGTCAAATAGTGAGCCAGGCAGCTTGTTAGTTACATCAAATCGTGGTCTTCTTGAGATCAAGGCCATACCAATCAAGACAGTATATATATAAAATAAATTACTAAACTAGGGACTGATAGAAATAGAAGGGAGGCCCTTAATGAGAGCTGTAATAGATCAAAGAAGGTTCCCAGAGGAGATGAGACTTGAGTAGATCCTTGATTCAAGAGTACATTTGGATATTCAGGGTTAGGGCTGTGGATGCCAGAAAATATCTTGTTACAGTTGGGCAAAAGGGACAGTTACAGAGGACTTCTGGGAGATCTCTGCTAATAACTTTCCTTTAGTTACTCCTTCCCCTCTTTGCCTTTAATGAATGAATCACGAGAGGATAAGGAATGTTCTCTTTATCCTCACCTTGTGAAATTCAGCTGAAAGCAGCTTCCCCTAGAAATATGGTCTTCATGCATCCAGTATAGAGCACTCATTGCTGACACAAAAGACTTAGTTCTAAATTAGTTTCTGTAAAAGAAAACTTCCCATCTATAGATTGATTCCCTAAAACCAGCAAATGGTCTCATAGATGCCACTAGTAACATGAACAGGGGCAGGTCATCTGGATCATTCAATACAAACACCAAAATTACACTATTAAAACAACTAAAGAACTGCCCAAGGATGTTTGAGTAAGTTATAGCATTTTCTTTGCATATGAAAGACAGCACTTTTTTTTTTTTCCCCAAAAGCATACTTTGTTCTGTACACCCCAAAGTGAAGGGAAAGAAACCAAAATATAAAATATATATCACATAAAATGTTAATTGTAAAAATTAACTTGTAGAATTAAATTGTGAAAGACAAGCCATCTACAATAACTGGATTTTGTATTCATCTTATCTTTGGGAGGGGCACAGTGTTTTAGCACACATTACATAAATGACTTACATTCACTTAAATATACATATGTGAAACTAGGAGCAAGATAGTCTTCATTCCATTAACAACATGCAGACTTAGAGAAATCTTGGTTAGGAGATAGTTATAAAAATGATTATCTTCTACCAAATTGTTAGTCACTTTTACCCAATACTATATTGAACACTTCTTCCCAACTGATGTTTTACGATTATTAGTTGCATCTTAAATATCTTACCTGAGCTGGATTGCTGCCATCCAAGGCAATGGTTGTGTTAGATGCCTTGAAAAGTAGGTTTCTACAGACTTTTCTTCAAAAGTAATAAAAAATAAAATTCATCTGTAAAAGTCATCAAGATGCATTGCCTCCTGAAATAACTTTTTAAAATGAGTTTATTTTCTATGTAGTACAACTAAAAATTTAAATAACGACAAAAACTGTGTGTGGCCTAGTTCTGTTGAAAAAAAAAAAAAAGAATGCTTGTTCTTAGGGTTGCTATTGATTTGGCCTGCAGTAACTAGAGAAACTCCAAGGATCTCATTCCCTCTATGGTTCATGTCTAGGCATGCCTGGAGACCAGGGAGACCCATGATTTAATCTAAGTAAGAATGCTTGTGGTGTTTTAAAGGCCCACACAGAAGATTGCATTTGTTTTAGACTGTACCAGGAAGGCACCTTTCAGGGGAATTGTTTACTGTTTTAATTTCTGGGCTTTTGGTGATTAGGGAGATGGAAAAGGAGCCGTCAGGAGAGACAAGGTTGATGATTAAGAGGAAACCAAGAAGAGTATAGAAAACAAATACCTTCTGCTTTAGCTTTGGCACATTTATATTGACTTAATTTACCACTTCTAGATACAAGACTAGACTGATGGGAATTGGGAATTAGAAAAGGTGGAGACGGGCCGGGGTGGTGGCTCACACCTGTAATTCCAACACTTTGGGAGGCCAAGGCGAGCGGATCATGAGGTCGAGAGATGGAGACCATCCTGGCCAACATGGTGAAACCTTGTCTCTACTAAAAATACAAAAATTAGCTGGGTGTGGTGGTGTGCGCCTGTGGTTCCAGCTACTTGGGAGGCTGAGGTGGGAGAATTGCTTGAACCTGGGAGGCAGAGGTTGCAGTGAGCTGAGATTGTGCCACTACACTCCAGCTTGGGTGACAGAGCGCAAGACTCCGTCTCAAAAAAAAAAAAAAAAAAGAAAAGAAAAATGGAGACAATGGAGACAACGTATCCCTCCCTTCAATACATACAAACTCACCATCTCCCACAGCTTTTGAAGGATGTTGTTGGAAGAGGAAGAAATGTAGAATTAGACTAATTAGAAATTACTGGATTTTAGCAGTTTCTTTTTAAACCTGTTTTTTTTTTTTTTTTTTGAACGGAGTTTTGCTCTTATTGCCCAGGCTGGAGTGCAGTGGCGTGGTCTTGGCTCACTGCAACCTCCGCCTCCTGGGTTCAAGCAATTCTTCTGCCTCATACTCCTGAGTAGCTGGTATTACAGGCAGCCACCACCATGCCTGGCTAATTTTTTGTAATTTTAGTAGAGATGGGGTTTCACTATGTTGGCCAGGCTGGTCTCGAACTCCTGACCTCAGGTGATCCACCCCCCACCCCAACAGTGCTAGTATTACAGGAGTGAGCCACTGCACCCGGCCTAAACCTGTTTTTATATTACTCGTAGGAAATATAAAACCATATCTTGGTTTATAGACCAATAAATGTCAGATTATTAACCTTCATGATAGTATACCTAGAAACTAGTTTATATGTTGAAGCAAGACTAAATTGAAGTCAATTCAGTGCCTTTGAAGAACTAAAAATCATTGAATCTATTTATGGGAGGAGATTTTCTTTTGAGCTAAAATGAACTGCCAGCAGTTTTTATAATTCCATATTTCTAGTTCCATTTTATTGTACTCTCATTAGTAAGAGTGCACCAGATTCTTAATTAGCTTCTTGCTTATATTTATTGATTAATCAATACTGTTGCTTTCAGTATAAAATGTTAATTTATCTTTCAGGTAAATCATAAGCAGTCTAATAAAATAGTCTTTATAGTTAAAGTTGCCGAAGCTCTTAGTTATGGCTTCAGTAGGAGCAGTTTGCATATTTTCCATCTTTAGAGAACAATCTCTAGGGATTTATGTGGTCTACTTGGTAAGATGGACAATGTGTGTATATATAGATAATTAATATGTTATGTTAATTATATTAGTATGTAATATGAATATATCTTAATATTAATATAACTTATAGTAATAGATTAAGAACACATGTTTGTGTTACATATCCTATTTATATTATATATAATTATTTAGTATGAAGATGGTTATATGAAAAAGTGCTTCAGGAATCCTGATGACTAATACAAACTTCATTATTGCCAACATTTAGGAAAAGGGAAAAGGAAAACTATCAAAGGGTAGGACACAGAGAAGTCTCTATGGAAAAGATGAGATTGAACTGAGCCTAGAAGCAAAAATACTGTTGATGAAGAGGGAATGTTTTGGTAGCAGGAGCGACTTGTGAAGGAAAAACACAAGCAAATTTATGGAGATTGTAATGTATGAGGCCAATTGGAAAAGCAATGAATGTGTTCCCATTGGGGAAATCAGATTAAAGAGGACTTTAACATTGAAAGTCCTCCATGATCCTACTTACCTGCCTGCTCATACGTTTCTATGAAGTTCACAAAAAAAAAAAAAAAAAAAAAAAAAAAAAGGCCCAGGGAGTTTCAATTTCATTGTTCTGCTGGAGGAGCCCCAGAAGCATAAAATGTGTTGTTTTACAAGGATTCATAAAGTAGCATACATTAGAAGAGGGAGAGACAGAGGAGACTGAAAGACCATTTACGAGATTAGTAAATTTCAGTATGAGGTGATGTAGAAAATACGGGATGAAGAGAGAAACTCTGTGAAGGAAACTTTGCATGACTTGGTTGGTAACCGGTTCAAGTGAACAAACAGAATAAGATTAACTTCCAGACTTCGATGACAAGTAGAGGTGTTGAGGGGGAAAATCTAGTCAGAGAATAATTGTGATTTTAGGTATAGGCATGTTTAGTTTTAGGCCATGGAAGAATATTGTGGTGGAGTTAGATATGTGGAGTTAGAACCCTGGCAGGAGACCAGAACTGAAAAGAGACTGAAGCTCTTTTATCCTCTTGATAGTTGAAGTCACGAGGAGTTCTCCAAGAAAGGTCTGCTGGCTGATTCTTCGTTGACCTACCAGTCCCTGCTGTCAAGGACGCCAGAGTAAGTGATGACAGCAATATATTAATCTCGAATAGAGAATAGAATGAGGAAAACAGAAGGCTCAGGATCAAATCTGAGAGGATCCCTCTCCTCTTCAGGGGCTGACAGGAAGAAGTAAATCTTGGGAAGGGTTAGCCCACAGGAAGCGGAAGAGAGGACTCTCACAAAAACCAAGCTGTTTTAAAATTCATACACTTAGGAATTCAAGAGAATCTGCTGCATTGGCACCACCACATCGCCAAGGTTTGGTCAGTAAAGAATTAGCCATAGGCAGCAGATGATTGGATTGGCTCTACCAGATTTTTTTGTCCAGGGCTTTATTCATTGAGTCAATGAAGGATCAATGATCTTCTCTAGGTAGAACTAAAGAGATGAACTTTCCTGGCCTTGTCCCACTACTGATTGGCCTCTGTCATCTCTCTTAAAAACAAAAACCAAAAAAACCCAAAAACAAACAAACAAACAAAAAACCAAAAAACAAACAAACAAAAACCCTCACACAAATTTTCAGGTTTATAAAAGTAATTTTAAGGTTTCAGTAAGCTAGTTAGTGGTCTGAACGCACAGTTGAAGAAAGTTAATAGACTTTCTCCTTCTTAAGAGCTCCAGGGTGTATTCTGTAACTCTATTAAGCCACAAGGAGAAAACGGACTGATTATCCTGTTAATTAATTGATTTACAAGAATGAAAATACTTTATGCCATCCTCTTAAACATCACTCTGTGTCTACTTATTCTTGTTTTTATTTCCACTGTCCTTATTTGGCACTTAAGCTTTTTTTTTTTTTTTTTTAAGTGGGAAACATATTTAGTTGAAAAATTTACATAATCCTCATTTGTTATCTTTATTTCCTCTATATTCATAGAATATATCTCAAGGATTTTATCATGCTTACATTTAGTAAAGTTCACATTGTCCTTCCTGCTCTTAGCTCCTCTACAGTTTGTTGAAATAAAGCTCAAATTCTACTTCCTAGGTAAAATCTTCCTTAGTACCTTTAGTTCTTCCTGATCCTTTCTCTTCTGTAATCCCTTTGACACTTAATGTAGTCACTCTAAAATTAGTATGTTCCATTAGTAAGAGAGTATTATTCTCCTGTATTCTAAGTGTATTTTGAATTCAGCATTTTACTATAATGGTATAGCGTGCTGATACATATACACATGTTTATTATATTAGTATAGAGTGTTGTACATAGGAACATTTTCTTACACTCTGAATTATTTTTAGTAAGTTATCTTGGTTTCTTTTTTTTACAGGGTACATATTCTTGTTTGGTACATGGGTATTACATGCATAATATTGGGTATCGGGCTTCTGCTGTACTCATCACCCCAATATTAGGCATTATATCCAGTAGGTAATTTTTCAACCCTCCCCTTTGGACTCCCCAGAGTCTATTTTCTCTATCTTCATTTCTACATGTACCATTTGTTTAGCTCCCACTTACAAGTGAGAATATGTAATATTTTATTTTCTGCTTCTGGGTTAGTTCACTTGGGGTAATGAACTCCAGCTCCATCCATGTGGCTGCAAAGGACATTATTTCATTCTTTTTTTATGATTATGTAGTATTCCATGCTGTATATATACACTATATTTTCTTTATCCAATCGACGGTAGACATTTAGGTGGATTCCATGACTTTGCTCTAATTGTAAATGGTGCTGCAATAAATACACAAGTACAGGTATCTTTTTAATATAATGATTTCTTTTCCTTTGGGTAGATACACAGTAGTGGGATCGCTGGGTCCAATGATAGTTCTATTTTCAGTTCTTTGAGATATCTCTATACTGTTTTCCATAGAGGTTGAATTAATTTACATTCCCACCAACAGTGTGTGAGTATTCCCTTTTCTCTGCATACACATCAACATCTGTTGCTTTTTGACTTTTTAATAAAAGCCATTCTGACTGGAGTGAGATGGCATCTCATTGTGGTTTTAATTTGCATTTCTCTGATGATTAGTGATGTTGAGCATTTTTTCATATGTTTGTTAGCTGTTTGTATTTCTTCTTTTGAGAAATACCTGTTCATGTTCTTTGCCCTGTTTTCAATTGGTTTGTTTTTTGTTTGTTGAGTTGTTTGAATTTCCTGTAGATTCTGAATACTAATTCTTTGTTGGAGGTATAATTTGTAAATATTTTCTTCCATTCTGTGGGTTGTGTTTTTATCCTATTGATTATTTGTTTTGCTGTGCAGAAACTTTTGGTTTATGTCCTATTTCCCTATCTTCATTTTTATTGCCTTTGTGTTTGGAATCTTCATCATGAATTATTTGTCTAAGCCAATGTCCATAAGGGTTTTTCCTAGGTTTTCTTTTAGGATTTTTATAGTTTTGGTTTTTATAGTTTTACATTTAGGTCTTTAATCCATCTACAGTTAATTTTGTATACGTTAAGAGATGGGGATTTAGTTTCAGTCTTCTGCATATGGCTAGCCAGTTTTTCCAGCATCATTTATTGAATAGGATGTCTATTTCCCATTGTTTATTTTTGTTGACTTTAATTGAAGATCAATTGGTTGTATATATGTAGCTTTGTTTCTAAGTTAGAGAACCCCATACTGTACCATTAATCTCTGGGTCAGTTCTTGTACCAGCACCATGCTATTTTAGTTACTATAGCCTTGTAGTATAATTTGAAGTCAGGCAATATAATGCCTTTGACTTTGTTCTTGTCGCTTGGGAGTTCCTTGGCTATTTGGGCTTTTTTTGGTTGTTCCATATGAACCTTAGGATTGTTTTTCCTAATTCTTTTAAAAATAAGGTTGGTAATTTGATAGGGATTGCATTGAATCTGTAGATTGCTTGGGTAATATTGTTATTTTAACCATATTAATTCTTCCAGTTCATGAGCATGGAATGTTTTTCCATTTATTTGTATCATCTGCAATTTCTTTCATCAGTGTTTTGTAGTTCTCCTTGTAGAGATCTTTCACCTCCTTGGTTAAATGTATTCCGAGGTATTTTGCTCTTTTTTTGTGGCTATCCTGAGTGGGATTGGATTCTTAATTTGGTTCTCAGCTTCAATGTTACTGTTTGTAGAAATGCTGCTGGTTTTTGTACATTGATTTTGTATCCTGAGACTTTACTGAAGTTGTTAATCAGGTCAAGGAGTCTTCTAGAGGAGTCTTTAGGGTTTTCTAGGTATACAATCATATTGTCAGTGAACAGAGATAATTTGACTTCTACTTTTCCAATTCAGATGCCTTTTATTTTTTTCTCTTGCCTGATAGCTCTGGCCAGGACTTCCAGTACTATGTTGAATAGGAGTTATCTTGTTTCTAACTTGAAATGTTATGTATATGCATGTATTTTTTATGGTCTTTCAAACAATGCCACTTACATTGTGAATGCTCAATAATCTAAATAGAAAATAAAAATTAGGAAGAAGCTTGTGGAAGATAAAACACTTGCATAGTATTATAGGTAAAGGAATTTTACTTTGATCAGGCTACACTAAAATTAATTTCTTTTGAGTTCAAATCAACATTGTATGGCTGTAGAATTTTATTAGATAATGTTTTGGGAAATGCAATTTTGTTTCAGCAATTAATGTAACTTCCTTTTATGTGGCTTGACCATAGTGGAACTGAGTTTATGTGTGGGTTACAGAATCAGTTCATTGTTTTATAAAATAGTGCTACTTGCTTGCTGTTGTTAAAAAAATACTTTCTGTCAGAAGTAGACTTTTGCTAAAACATCTATACCTTTCCCCTCTTTGGCAATAACATGTATTTGTGAATGGATGGGTGAGCCTAGGGACATAACTTGTAGTTTAAGGAGGGAAGTTAAAGAAATGAAATGAGGTTATGATAAGACTGGTTATTACATCACAAGTTCAGCAAATTTAATATTTAATTCAGATGATATTTTAAAACTTCTTTGTCTATTTTTAAACTTTTATAAGCATAAATATTTTCATTTTATAAGTGAAGTTTAGCTAAAACTAAGAAGACAAATGTAGAACCAGATTTTCGAGTTTTACCTTCATCAATGAACTTTGGGGCTTCACTATTCCTTAGCCATCAAGTTGAATTTCCTCATTTTAAAATGAAGAATGCAATTCTAGAAACTATTACTTGTACAAGGTCATGTCAGTCATATTCATATTTTATACCATTTGATTCTCTGTTACAGGCATAATGGGAAGTAAAATATGTCTATGCTGCTTCATCGCCTTTCTGTTCTCCAAATGGCCAGAACCTCTTATTTCTTGTTTTCTGTGGTTCTTCACCCAGACATAATCCCCTCACCCAAACAGAACACCATCCTGTTGCTCTACTATGGATAGCTCATTGGACATTTTCAAAAAGAAATCCTTGAAACACAAGGTTTTAAGCAAGGGAATAAATGTCTTATAATGAGAATTTTAGACATGACAGAAGGATAGTGGGAGAGTTGTCAAATTTCAGCAGTAATTTTCTCTTCTACTTAGCTCTGGGATTGGCTTAGGCCAGACCAGGTTAGTTTTTCTGCTAAATTCTAACATCTTGTCAGTGGACATTACTAGTTGGGTATTTAATTGCCATTGAAAGCTCAGTATACCTCAATCTGAATGAATCACCATTTGTTTTATACTGACTCTTCCACTGAATTTCATTCTTTCAATGATAACATTAATCTCTTGGTTACTAGTGTTTGAAACTTGGAGTAAATTTTGAGTATTTCATTTCCCAAACTTTACAACCAAGTCATCACTTGTGTATATATTTGACTTCCCTCTCTAGATAATAAGCCTCTTGAAAGGAAAGTTGAATTTTGATTTTACCCCCAGCCCCACTAATAGTGTCTGTGAAGTAGGTGGTCAGTAAATAGTCACTGAGTGTTAATTAAAACAGAAGGTGTAGTTGTCATCAATGTAAAGGAGGTGATTTAAATAACGTGTTTCAAGTCATAAACAAGTAACCGGAGGAAATCTTCCGTGATGTTTACTTTTTATTTGATTGTTCTTTCCTGAAATCTAAGTACATTGTTATTCTACCATTCTATTCATAACTTGCAAGGCCTGCCTGGGCCTGTTGCAGAAAATAATGCTAGGAGAGGGTTCAAAACCACATTCATGTACTTCACCAACTCAAAGTGCAAGGGAATGGTTTGTCAATGGGAAGATGAAGTCATGAAAGAATTATAGAAACACCTGGCACCATTCTATTATTGTAAATGCAAACTAGCCATTTGAAAAGAAAAAAATGTTGTGTTAATGCATCTGTTGCCTTTAGTTCAGAAGCAAAATTTCAGCAGCATACAAGGAGTTACCCTAATTTTCAGCTTTGTCCCTTCTAACATAAATTAAAAAAAATAATCTTTGCAAAATTTACCCCAGCAAATGGCTAGAAAATATGAGAATAAATGATGCAAATTTGTCCTAATAATCTGTTAAACTTAAGGCATTATTAAGCAATCAAAAGTGTAAAATAAGTTTAAAATCTTCTTCACAGCTAAGGCGGTATCTATCTTAATGATTTCCACTTTTGCTGCACATTAGAATCGCTTGGGGAACTTTAAAAAGTCCTGATATGTAGGTTGCACTCTATACCAATTAAGTCAGAATGTCTTGACCCAGCGTAGCGGTTCACACCTGTGAATCCTAGCACTTTGAGAGGCCAAGGCAGGAGGGTTCCTTGAGCCCAGAAGTTCAAGACCAGCCTGGGCAACATAGGGAGACCCCCATCTCTTTCGAAAAAAAAAATGTCTGGGTAAGGGATAGGAGGCAGACATCAGTATTTTTAAAAGATCTTCAGGTGATTCCAAGGTGCAACAGTTTGGGTACCCCAGCCACCGAGGAAGAGGAGTGAGAACTATGTCATGGGCAGTTGAAACAAACAAAAGACTATGGAGTTGGAAGATTATTAAGGTCCTACTTTCATGTTTGTTTATTTTAATATGTTCTGGGTACACAGTAGATATTTAAATATGTACTGAATTGAATTAAATTAATCTTAATTAAATCTTAAATCATATTCTTAGATATCAAGATGCTCAGCCATCCATTTCACAGTCCTTTTAAACAAGTTTTAAAAATTGATATATAATAGTTGTATGTATTTTGGGGGTACATGTAATATTTTAATACTTGTATATAATGTATAATGATCAAATAAGGTAATTGGGATATCCATTTCCTCAAACATTTATCTTTTCTTTGTGTTGAGAACATTACAAATCTTCTAGCTATTTTGAAATATACAATTGTTACCTATAATTTGTCTATTATACTAGAATACTAGAACTAATTTCTTCTATTTTTGTATCCTTAACCAACTTTGATAATCCTCACACTTACATTTCTTATACCTCTCAAGCATCAAAGACATTACAATAACTAGCATACTACCTAATGTATGTATTTCATCTCAGTTCATCACTAGTGAAAGGTTTTTTAATTTTTTTGAGACAGGGTCTTTGCTCTGTTGCCCAGGCTGGAGTGCAGTGACGCAATCATAGCTCATAGCTTACTGCAGCCTCAAACTCCTGGGCTCAAGTGATCTTCCCACCTCAGCCTTCGAGTAGCTAGGGCTACAGACACATGCCACACCAAGCTGACTTTTAAAATTTTTGTAGAGACAGGGGTCTTACTGAGTTGCCCAGGCCGACCTCAAACCCCTGACCTCAAGTGATCCTTTCGCCTGGGCCCAAAGTGTTTGCATTACAGGCATGAGGATCTCTGCCCAGCTCAAGAACAAGCGCTCTAATGTTATCTATTACAATCATATGAGATTGCTATTGTATCTCCCATTTCACAGGCAGAAAATTAAGTTGCCCAAGGTTACACAGATGGTGAGTCCTAAAGTTGCAATACACACCCAAATCTATCTGATCTTAATGCCCATATTTTTAAACTTTGTATTGTGCAGGAATGGAAAGTTATGACAAAATGATAGCATTAGTGAAAAAGAGTACTTGCAAGTTCAGTATGAGTCCATGGTGTGATGTCACTGCCAAAAAGGTAAAAGCCACCTGAGGTTGTGTTCTGGAATACAGTATTCAGAGGGAGGGAAGCAACAGCCCCGTGCTAGTCTTTAGGGGTGGAGCACACCTGGAGCATTGTGTGCAAGTCTGAGCCCCACGCTGGAAAAAAGGGGATTACTCACACACCTGACACTCACTGTGATGTGCGTACCCAACATGGTGAGTGAGTCTATAGGAAAAACTGTCAAAAAGCTGAGACTATTTAGGCTCCACAAAGAGAAGGCTGAGGGAGGCTGAGTAGCTAGTATTTGAAATGTCATCATATGGTGGAACATTAGACACGGTTGGTGTAGTTCCAGAAGGAAAAACTAGGCTGCACATACAGGAAAATTGGAGGTAGATTCGCCTCCACACAGAAAGGAAGGTCTGGCTGTTATTTGGAGCTTTTTAGAAATGAAATGGACTTCCTTGTGAGACAGTGAATTCCTTTTCGCTAATGAAGAAACTGAATGATCACTAATCCTGAGCGTTAAAGACTTAATGTATGTCAGGTGTGATGCTTCTCAACGCTTAGTGGGTATTAGAATCACCTGGGGGAACTTGCTAAATACTGATTGCCAGGCCTTACCTTGGGAAGCGTTGCTTCAGCAGATCTGAAATAAGGTGGGAGAATGTGAATTTTTAAATTTAATTTTTATTTTTTTTTTTGAGACGGAGTCTTGCTCTGTCACCCAGTCTAGTGCAGTGGTGTGATCTTGGCTTACTGCATCCTCCGCCTCCCGGGTTCAAGCAATTATCCTGCCTCAGCCTCCTGAGTAGATGGGACTACAGGTACATGCCACCACGCCTGGATAATTTTTGTATTTTTAGTAGAGATGGGGTTTCACCATGTTGGCCAGGCTGATCTCGAACTCCTGACTTCAGGTGATCCACCTTCCTCGGCCTTCCAAAGTGCTGGGATTATAGGTATGAGCCACAGTACCCGGTCAAGAATCTGAATTTTTAACAAGAAACACAGTGAGTCCAGATCACATGGTCACTGACCCCCACCCTCTGAGAACTGGTGAGGTTAGATAAACTCAGATCTCTTCTACTTATCCTACAAATAAACCCTTTAGTAAAAAAAAGTGTCGTCAACATAACAGCTGCTCAAAGTTGTCTTAACAAGTTTTGTAAGAAATCTAAGGCAAAATTCCTTAATATGTTGACAGCTAAGTTAGAGATGACATCATTGGAATGTGCGATATTAGGATACAGAAGAACGCTTGATTCTCTGTGTTATAAAAGATAAGATTATAATAGCAAAATAGAAAATATAGATCCAGTTTGAAAACACTTCAAATAGAGAACCCACTCCACTTATGCCAAGGAGCAATTGGATGGAGACCAGATTGGCATATGAAAAAGCTATATGATTATCTCAATAGGCAGCACCTGTGTAAGGTGAAGCACCCATCAGCCTTTAGGGCCCAGGCTTATATAAACTTCAGCCTCAAACTCACGAACAGGTGTGGTTGAGAGTTGGAAACATAAGGGATGGTGCAGTTGGTCTTTTAACTCTTATCCACTTTTCTTGGGGGCTAAAGGGCTTTTGTTGGCAAGTATAATGTGTTTGATTATTCTTAAAGCATGCAACTTGTGAGGCACATTTTGGAATAACTCTCTCCTGAAATATTTTGCTCTTTGTTAATATATCTTTAAAACGTGATGCTTGAGGTAATTACTCTCCCATACCAGGATCTTTTTTAAGTTGCACAGTGATGTTTCAGTTATTACTCAAATACTTTAAAATTTTAAAAAGACTTTTTTTTCCTTTGAAAACCTTTAAAACTGGGCTATTTGAGGAATTGCTGTTCTTGGCTGTTATGTTAATTGATAGTGTTCATGTACTTACCTAGTTTACTAAGGACTTCTTTCTAGCAAATTATCTCGGTTTTAAATTTAAGGTATGTAAAATTTCCAAATGGCAATTAAGTATTGATATTAAGTTAAACATTTCTTTCTATTTCTTCTTCCTTTTAATGATTCAGACCTCCTTATCTATTTTTCTTGAATCATGAGAGATGAAATTGCAACAACAGTTTTCTTTGTCACAAGATTGGTGAAAAAACATGATAAACTAAGTAAACAGCAAATAGAAGACTTTGCAGAGAAGCTGATGACGATCTTGTTTGAAACATACAGAAGTCACTGGCACTCTGATTGCCCTTCTAAAGGGCAAGCCTTCAGGTGAGAGCTAGTATGTGGGATGGCAAAGGGAAGCAATCACCAAACAACAGCCAGCTCCTAGGAAAATGGAGTGATCTTGTTTTCTGCATTTAAGTAACGAAAGTTTTATGGGTTCATTTGTTTGAACGTGGAATTGAAAGGAGGAGACATAGTAGATGACACTTTGGCTGGAAACAACAGAGCAAAGCCCCTTACGTGAGGTAGATTAAACAATTTTTAATTTGTGTTTGCCGTGAAAGATAAGCTGTGAATAGCCGGTAAACTAATTTTGTGACTTAGTGATGCAACATACATTCTGAGCCACTGTATCAAAAGTTGATGATGTCTTACTTGTAAGAGTGGAGAGTAGAGGAGGCTGAGGGGAAGGTGGGGGTGAGGTGGGAGCTATGTGTATTGGAACGGTATGTGCATAATGTGATTCTCCTGCTAGAGTGCCTGTCATCATGTCTTCATCTCCCTTCATTTTTTTAAAAGGTGCATCAGGATAAACAACAATCAGAATAAAGATCCCATTCTAGAAAGGGCATGTGTGGAGAGTAATGTGGATTTTTCTCACCTGGGACTTCCAAAGGAGATGACCATATGGGTAGATCCCTTTGAAGTGTGCTGTAGGTGAGTAATCTCATAGTTTGTGTGCTGTGTGATATCTGGAAACCTTAGGTTAGACAACTTTACATAAGTTCATGAAAGATGATGCACCAAAGCCTTGAGTTAGCAGCAGGGACACTTCTTGGTTAAGATTTTAGATGCAAACTTCTGTTAGACAATGAAGACTTCTATTAAAAGTGGGTGAGGTGGAAAGCACAATGATTTTGCAAAATATTTGAAATGTGGCTTTAATCACTGCACCTTATTACAAACTATAGATTGGTAACGGTATCTATTACAAACTGTAGGTTGATAACAGATAAGTATTATACGCAATATCAGAAAGGAAGTAGAGTTATCTATCATGGGACAATTCAGTTCATTAACTGAATCAAAAGAAACTAGTCTTTGTTTTTTTCTGAACAATTAACCAAAATAACTCTTATAGAATGTCCTCATTTATAACAGTATAGTAGGTGAAGGTCATAATGTCCTTCAATTTTTTAAGGCAATCTCTTTTGAAATAAGTTAGCATATTGTCTCCTGGAAAGATTAGAGACAAAACTTGTAGGAAGTTGAATCCCTAATTAGTACTTAAATTTCTTTTCCTACTTAGGTATGGTGAGAAAAACCATCCATTTACAGTTGCTTCTTTTAAAGGCAGATGGGAGGAATGGGAACTATATCAGCAAATCAGTTATGCAGTTAGTAGAGCCTCATCAGACGATTCCTCTGGCCCTTCCTGCAATGAAGAAAGTTGTAGCAAGGAACCTCGTGTCATTCCTAAAGTCAGCAATCCAAAGAGTATTTATCAGGTCAAGTGTGTTCCAGTTCTTTTCTATACGTTTTTCTATCTGATTCTAAAAAAAAATGCACTCATTATGAAAACAAAGAAGCAAAAAAGCATGGAAAGAACAAAACTGTAGATTTTTAAAAGCCAGAATCTTAATATTTTGGCAGAACTTTTTCTGTCTTCTTCACTGCACAATGTATTCCCTACTCTTGGCTGAGCTTTTAGGATCTACATATCTACATAATCTTTTATTGTCTTATTTCTTCATACAGTATTTGAAGACACACAGGTTTCCTTCCACTTAAATTCCTACAGAATCAAAGATTAAGATTAGTGGGCTTTTTTTTTTTTTTGGTCAATTGAAAATACCATGGCATTTATACAAAATTTGGATTTAGGAAAGGTCAAAGGCCTATACATTGTGCCACTAGAGCAGTTTTTCTCAACTAATTTTTTCTTCTTTTTAAACCATAACCCATTGAAAGATATGCATATTTACATTTAAAAAGTTTCCTGAAACAGTGTTTATCTTTACTAGGAGCAATGCTCCCAGTACTTCCAATTAAATTCATTTGATTTCAAGCATCTAAATTGATTTCATGACCCACAATTTGAAAAACACTGAACTAGAGAGAATTTGTTAACACTTTATGTATATATTTGTTTGTATGTTCTCTTAATCACCTATGTATTAAATGTTAAAGCAATTAACATTTTAATATTCATTTGCCTCCCTTGTAACTGATTATTGGCAGAATTCTAGACTGTTTCCACATGGTTGTAATATTTTTTAAAAAGCTGATAACTCGTATGGTGATGCCTGAATTTTAGGTTGTTTCTTGAGGTTTGATTCTCAAGCACAGAACTACCGGGTCACCGAGTATGAACATTTTACTGGTTTTTAATGTGCAGCCGAAACACCATATAGAAAGTTGTATTTATTTGTAGTGTCAGCAGCTGTATGTAAAAGTGCCTGCTCTGCCTTTTTTTTCTGGTATTGGCTATTCTCATTTAAAAAAACAGATAATTTGGTTAACATGATATGCATACGTAATACAGTATTAGTGAAATTAAACATTAAAAAATTCTGTGTGCCCAAATGTTTTACCAACTACTGTCTTACAAATTTTCTGTTATTCACCCATTCATTATTTGAAGTTCTAATGTATTATTATAGGTTCTTTATATGCCGGAATGATTTTAACCCCTTGTCGTATTTCTGGCAAATGTTTTGTCCCTAGTTTTTTAAACTATGTGTGTCATTGATAGTTTCTTGGAAACAGTGACTTTAAAATAATGTATGACAAAGCTATTTTTTTCCTCAGTGTTATAACCAAACTATGTTATTCAAAGTCCTGCTGTATGTCATGTAGCTTAAAATTAGTTTCCAAGAACCTATCGAGGTTGTTGAGTGAGGATTTGTGGTATTTGCCTTAATTCTATTTTTATTTTTAGAAAGGTCTTCTTTCATTTGGGGATTAGACCTGTAATCAGCTCTATCCTTTTACAGCAATGTCTTTTCAAAGTGTGATCTGTAAAACATCTGTATCAGCCATCTAAGGTGTTTAAAATGAAGATTTCTAGGCTGTGGCCCTAGAGATCATGAACATGCAGTTTTGGATTGGGCTGGCAGGCGTGAGGTAGGGATGGGAGAGGGACAACTCAAGAATAAACATAAACTTGAATAAGTGTATTACAAAGTTTTTAGTTGAGTTAGTTAACTTTTTAAAAAGGTACAGTATAAAGTGACTTATGTTCCTGCCAAGTGCTAGAAAATTTTTCAAAGATAGTTATGCACTTTTGATTCTATTTATTTGTGCTCCTTATGCTTTTGAAGTGCTTGACTTTTGAATTATGAGTTCATATTTAGTCCTTACAGCTAGCTTATTAGAGATCTTTATGCTTTTTTTTCCAGGTTGAAAACTTGAAACAGCCCTTTCAATCTTGGTTCCAAATCCCCCGCAAAAAGAATGTGGTGGATGGCCGTGTTAGCCTCCTGGGAAACACTTACCATGGGTCGCAGAAGCACCCTAAGTGTTACAGGCCTTCTATGCACCGGGTGGACAGGTACCACTGGGTCAACATACACCAATGACGCAGTGACTGGGCACATGGTGGGCGAGAGCTCAGAGGAGCGCCTTTATTCTAAAATAAAAATGAATTTAAGGTTGAGAGGCCCATGAAACAAAAAATGACCATATTCGGGACGAGGGTACACAATGGTAAATCCTCTCATACAGATCATGACTGTTCTTAGCTGTACTTTTAATTCTTATTTAATTTTACATGAAGTTTTATGTAACATTAGTGAATGTACCCAGTAAGGTAACAGAATGAAGATACTGACCTGTAATAAGACTCAATGAATTATGAAAAGTAATGGTTTAAATAAATATACAGTGTTTTTAATGCTTCTTAGTTCAGTTCGTTGCAAGAAACAAACTTTTAAAAGTTTATTTTTTGTAAAGAAGGGGTCTCCCTATGTTGCCCAGGCTGGTCACAAACTCCTGACCTCAGGTAATCCTCCTGTCTCAGCCTCCCAAAGTATTGGGATTACAGGCGTGAGCCACCGTGCCTGGCCACCATTCATTCTTACTCCCCTCACCCTCTACCACTTGCTAGAGGGAAAGTTGATGACTCTGCAGTCCATGTCTCTACAAATTTGATAGCAGTGAGAATTGTTTTGGCTGCTACTTTTTGATGTTTATGGTATGAGGAAATGCCCGTTAGGCTACTGCTGGTGAATTTTATCTTTGCTAGATTTTATAGATTTTAAAATTAGGGAGGGAGATTCTACAATCCAGCTTCACTCTATTAGCCAAAAATAGTTTGACTCTTCTAAATTCTGTGTCTCTAGTTGTTAGAAAATTCCCAAAACCTTGTTGACTGGACCCATTCCTGCTCATGCTGTTTGTTCCCAGCTGGGCCCTTGCTGTTGTTTGGCAGTTCCTGTTACTCTCCACTTAAGACGTATTGTAGCTGTCTTCTCATTCTCTTTGTACTCCATCCTCCTGTGCTCTCAGCAGGGGACTTGTTCTTTTTGTTTTCTTCTACTTCAAAATTTTATCCCTCCCTTCTCCTCTCTCATCTCCATTTTAAGACTTTGCTCTTCTCCAGTCGCTTGTATCTTCTCCCTACATCTTGGTTTTCTTGCTGAATTTCTGCTGTTAGGTGGTTCTGGATCCAGGAAGCTGGTAGCACTGGATCAGTCACAGCTTGGTTCTCTTGTGAGTAAACTTGTGCTTTGGGCCAGTGGCTCTGAGTGGATACAAAAAGTTGTGACCTTGAGTCCCAACTGGGGCAGGACATGCCAGCAGTCAAGCTAGTACTGACGAAGAGGGGACTTGATTCTAGCTTCATTACTTTGGGTGCAGCTCTTAGTAATCATTTTTTCTTTTTTCTTTTTCTCTATAAATGGATGGTTCATTAGGGCACATAGCAGCATTATTTTGTGGGACAAACTCACTTATCCTTAATGGCATATGAGGTCAAGTTTCTCTGCTGAAAAATGAGTTTGTCCTCTCTTGAAGAGCTTTCTGCTATAGTATGGGAGTTGTTGTGAACCTCCCCAGATTTTTCTCAAGGTAACCACAACACTAGTTTACTGGTCCCTCAGCAAACCATCCACTGGAGGTGGTTGTGATGTTCGCCAGCCTCCATATGTGTGTGGGTGAATTCTGGTCTCCAGAAAATGGGGCAGAAACAAGACTACCAGCAATGGGTGTAATTATTAGGCTTTAGGATGCTAGCATGTATGTGAATGTACTTTAGTTTAATCCTTAACCATCAAGTTAGAATTTCTGGTAACATTTCATTTTCTCTGCCTCCCTACCTTCTACCCTTGTGCAGGCAATTGTTATTAGTTACCTGTCTGGTCTTGTTCCCCATCCTAAGGTAATCTTTACTCTTCAGTTTAAAATGTTTCAATCAGGAAAATATTCAAATTCTAGAATACGGTTTCTGGTCTTAATGACTTGAGTTCTTGCATGTCTTTTCAGCCTAACCTCGACTCTCCTTTTGGACTCTGTTTTTTATTTTCTTGTTATTTTGTTTCCTTTGAGACAGAGTCTCACTTTGTTGCCCAGGCTGGAGTTCAGTGGTGAGATCTCGGCTCACTGCAACCTCTGCCTCCCAGGTTCAAGTGATTCTCTTGCCTCAGCCTCCAGAGTAGCTGGGACTACAGGCGTGTGCCACCACGCCCGGGTAATTTTTGTATTTTTAGTAGAGACGGTGTTTCACCATGTTGGCCAGGTTGGTCTCGAACTCCTGGCCTCAAGCGATCCACCCACCTTGGCCTCCCAAAGTGCTGGGATTACCAGGGACTCTGGTATTTAAGTGTTCTTGATTGGGATACTTCTCACCTTGCCTCATTGTTCTCCCTTCACTCTTGATCTTTGGGTATCACTTGAGATACCATCTCTTCCAGGAAGACTTCCTGATCCCCACGTCCAGTTTATCGTCATATGTTAGGGGTTCCTTACAGCATTCTGTCTGCCCCTAGAAGAGCACTTAACTATTATAATTGTTTCATAGTTATCAGTATCCTCCCAATAGACTGAGTTTTCAGAGTACGGATACCTCATATTCCCATTTAATGTTGGCATGTAGTAGTGTTCAGATTTATAGGCTGGATGACTTTATTGGTGATTAAACGCTTGCCTAATATATAATCTGATACACAGCATTAAATAATGCTTGTTGGTTGATCATTCTCTCAGTGGAGTAAGAAGTACTGTGTTCTAGGCTGGGCATGGAGAACTAATTGCTGTAAAAATCTGAAGTTGTTTGGTCTTTACATGTACAATTTATTGGACTAAAAAAAGACAAATCAACCATATATAATACTTGCTAGATATAAAGTGCAACATAATATTTGGATATGACAAGAATGAGTGATCTTTCAAGAACCTTTACACAGAGGGTTTTATTAATAAAGTTTCCCTTGTAGTCTGCAAGGTTGGTTTAAAAAATTTTCCAGCCAGCAGAGGTGACAC